GACAGGTCCCCAGACAGCTCTGCCAACTCCAGGTGTCTTACGGGATTGGGGAAGGCGGCTAAGAGGCCAAACCTGGAGTTTTTACTCCCCAGATTCAACTAGGGTTTCTGTTCGTGAGTTTCCATAGAAGATGTCTTATGTGGAGGCCAACAGGTGATGTGGTGGTTAAGGCTTTGGACTCCCAGATGGCCAACCACAGTTCAAGTCCCAGACCTGGCAGCTTTCTCTCTCTGTCTCTCTCGCTTGCTCTCTCTCTCTCTCTCTGGTGAGCACATGTGCCTATAGCAAATTAACTACTACTAATAATAAAAATTAAATAAACAGCTCTAAACAAAACTAATAAGCAAAAAAATAATAAAAAAAGATGCTTTATGTGGAAAAAGAGGGTCATTGCTAAAAGTGTTAGTAATTGGAAAACCACGTCCCTAGACCAGGCCTGATAGTTCACAGCCTGACTCCCATGTATAATTTCATTCATGTAAAAGACATTTATAAAACCCTAATGTAGTTCCAAACAGTGCCAAGTTTAAAAAGATAAAGCCCTGCCCTTGGTGGGAAAGACAGGCATGGGAACAGACCACCAGAATGTGGCGCAGCCCCTATCCATGAGAGACCGTGTACCTCGGGTGCTGGCGGCCTCAGAGGGGCAGCTGCATGGTCAGGGGCAGGTGGGGGAGGCGAGTCTCCCCAGTGGAAGTCGGGTGGACTGAAGTCTGAGCGGAAGTAGCTCACCAGGCAGACCAGGAGCAGAGCGGCGTTCGAGACAAGGGTCAGAAGAGCCATCAGTGTCCTGGAACCCTGGATCTGCCACACAAAGCCCACTGGATCCCAGGCCCGTCCCTCTCCCACGGGCACACAAAGCCCACTGGATCCCGGGCCCGCCCCTCTCCCACGGGCGCCCCGCGTGGCACTCGCAGCTCTCCCTCTCTCCCCTCTGCTCGTGGTCCACCTCGCTCCCTGGTTGGGGATGAATGTTCATTTAGTCCTGTCCTTGACACTTGAGACTCAGCCACAGCCCAGCTCACCCCAAACGCTACTTGTCAAGAATTCCTTTGCTTGGGCCGGCAGGTGGTGTGGTGGTTAAGGTGGTGGACTCCCACATGACCGACTGCAGTTCGAGTCCCTGACCTGGTGGCTTGCTTTCGCACATTCTCTCTCTCTCTCTCTCTCTCTCTCTCTCTCTCTCTCTCTCTATGTCTCTCTCTAGACAAACACATTCTCTCTCTCTCTCTCTCTCTCTCTCTCTGTCCCTCTCTAGTCAAATTAAAATATATAAATAAATACAGATAAATAAAATAATTCTTTAAAAAAAAAATCCTTTGCCTTGGTTGAGGTGCCGTCTTCCCAAGGGGCCCAGGTGGCCCCGGGACAGTAAAAATTTAGCACTGCTGTGCCACTGAAAGTGCTGATTTTGCCACCAGGTAAATGACTGAGCCAACGTGAAGTAGACCACCTTGGGGAGCAAATCTCAGTAAAACTAAATCAAATTCTTGAGTGTTTTAAGTAGCCCCAAATTGGACCTCTGTTTCCCTTTCAGTTGGAAGCGCAGTGTTCTCTGGCCCTCCTGCTCTGACACAGTTAGAGCAGTTACTTGGCGCTCAGTCGCCGTGAAGCAGAAGCGCACACGCGGTCGGTGCGAGGGTCAAGCAATTCCTCCTGGGAGCCGCCCACGCGGCCGTTTTCCGGATCACGGCACTGCACGCTCCCTCACGCGTCTTTCACTTGCCTCCCAGGTAATAACTCGAAACGAACTCATGCTGGAAGAGACCAGAAACACCATCACCGTTCCAGCCTCGTTCATGCTGAGGATGTTGGCCTCCCTGAATCACATCCGAGCTGGTGAGGCTCTCAGGGCACTTGGGAGGCACGGTCCTGCTCAAGGTCTGCTTTAGAGGGGTGGCCATCTCCCCTAGTACCGCACCGCGGTGAAGGCAGCTCCACCTCCGAGCTGGGATTTCTGTGAGCTTGACCTTAGCTAGATTTATTGGGAAATGGTCAAAACAAAAGTCAGACTTACTTGAAAACTTTTCTCAGCTGCTCATTTCTTCACAGAGCACAGGGCCTTACTGTGAACCCTAAGGTACGTTATTACAAGTCGATCTGGTCAAAATCAGTTCGAGCCCAGGCAAGAGTGAATACAGCCTGTCAGGAACAAATCAGCTCATTTATAACACTAATGCGTGACACGAATACAAACAGTAAGAAGTCCCGTATGCTCGCGATTGAGCGAGCTCGGGAGACAGTCCCCCTCCAATTGTAATATTAAAAGGGAGCGGGGAGGGCCAGCAGGCGGTGCAGTAGGTAGGGCACGGGACTGACTCCCAGGTGGCCGGCCGCTGCTCACGTCCCAAACCCTGTGGGCACGAGTCCCAGATCCCGAGAGGAGAGCGGAGAAGGGGCTGCGTCATGACATTCCCCTGGGCACTGATTTCTCGCTTCCTCTCTCTCTCCAGCCAGAGCACACACCCTATACAAAAGCCTGAAGAAAGAGAGAGAATTATCCCAGTATTCCAGGGTCCATGTGTCAAACATTAAGCATGTAGGCAGTCAGAACTCTTATAAAGTCATACAGAAATACGATGAATCATCAACAGTTTCTGATATGTCCCTTTAAGAATTCCAGGAATAATATCTGAGGTCAGCCAAAAATCATTTCCTGAAGATTCACTTTTCCAGTTTTTGCTAAAGGGCAGGTCCACTCCCTGGAGAGAGAGCGAGCGAAATCACCCTGTCCCCGCAGTGGGGGTGGCCGTGCCGCAGTCCCTCCTCCACTCTGCTCTCGGAACCCCGGGCACTCATCACACAGGCCCGGCGCGCACATACTCAGACCTCCCAGTGAGCCTGGTGGGATCCAGCACCTTAGTCACCATGCCACTGGCCAGCCTGCTGAAGTCACTCTAGCAGAACGAAAAGAACCATCCCACAAATGTAAACCCGACTTATAAAAGCAAGTCGGCATTGTCTGCTTTTGGAAACAGTAGATACAGGACTGATTTTTTTAAGTTTTTTTTTAATTAAAAAAAAATGATAGAGTGCTTGCACAGCCGAGGGAGATGAGGAGAGGGAGTGCGAAAAGCACCTCCACGGGGCTCGGCCGCTCTGCAGCCCCAGCCTCAGGCCTGCAGCCTGCCAGCGCCTGGGAACACACGCATGGACCCGGCACGTGTTTGGGCCGACGGGGCGGGGCCCGGAGCAGGTGGGCAGGTGGCTCCCAGGCCCACAGTCTAGCTGTGCTGCAGCCTGTGCTGCCGAGGCTGGCCCAGAGGCGACTCGGTCCAGTCCTTTAAGAGAAGTGTCCTCCAGGCTTCCTTGGGCCGTGCTCGCTGGGCAGAGGTCAGGAGTTTTGCACTGCTCTTGAACCATTGAACTCTCTGAGCGTTGGACTGAGCGGGTTTACCGCCTCGGTAGCACACTGCCAACAGAAGAGTCCGTTATTGCTGGAGATGGGGTTTGCGTTCCCGGAGAGCCGTCGGTGCGCGGGTAAGTCAGTTGGCTTGGAGGAAACGACAGCTGCTCTGCCTTCCTCAGCCAGAAGCCACTGTCATTTACTCTGCGCCCCTTGGCAAGCAGCCCTCGGCCTCACTGGTCTCCCGGTGGTGTGCTTTGGCCTCAGCCCAGCCCCCAAGGCACAGTGGGTGGCATACCATACGGCAGCACCAGGAGCCGCGTGGCCAGGCCTCGCTGGCCTGAGCCGGGCGGGCTGGGAGTGTGCACGTGCCCCGGGTTCTGGCGGCTGGAGGGAGGGGACTGCTCTTCCTCGCTCTGTCTCCCTCGTACACACGCACACTATCACAGTAAGATGAACAACAGCAAGGTAAACTCTGTCACAGACTCCCTAGTTAAAGGCTATGGCATTTGTTCTTAATCCTCTATTTCCCTATTTCCATTCATAGTGCAACACCAAAAGAAATCTGTGGGAAAAAACTTCAGACCTGGAAATAGAGCCTGCTTCCTCATGCTCGTCAGAGCTGAGACCCGTTCAGGATACGCGCTTCTGTGGACAGACAGCGCGGCACTGTGCTCTCTCCCGAAAGTTTATCGCACGATGAAATAATCTGTTTATACTGACATTCTTTTTTTTTTTTTTTTTTTGAGAGAGAGTTTTGCTATAAGGCATGTGTGCTCTCTGGACAGAGACAGAGATAAATCACCCCCCAGGGAGGATGGCCACGCAGCAATCCCTTCTCCATTGTCCCTCGGGATTTTGGGTGCGCACACACACACCCACACACACGCACGAGCCCTACATGAGTTTCAAGCCACCAGGTCTAGGACTGGAACCACAGTGACCATGTGGGAGTCCAGTGCCTTATCCTCCGTGCCACCCGCCGGCCTTTTACTGGTCAGAAATTCTCCCGCAGCGTCTGGGTTCTGTAAAGACCCGAGCTGGCCTACTCACGTCCTCGTCCCTTTTACAGCCCTACGTCGAACACTCCCCGCGATAGCACGAGTTTGTGTACGCAGGTAACACTCGTGCACTCCCGCAGGTCTGACTGGAGTGCGGTCAGGCCAGCACACGAGATGGGACCTCACTCACAGACAGCTGAACAGCCCCTCCTCGTGCCTGCCATGTCACCGTGCAGCAGGGTCTCTGGCAGGGACACCCTCGGTACCAGCCTGGTGCAGAAGTGACTTTATACTGTGGCTGCACGTCGCCTGGTGAAGTGCGTGCTGTCCCCTAAGGCTTATACTCATTCAGCAAGCCTTTCTGGGGCATCCTGTAGGCTGCAGACACCTCCGGCGGCCACGGTGGCACACACTGTGACCCCAGCTCCCCCGAGGCTGAGGCAGGGGTAGTGAGTATTCCGAGACCAGTGTAGGCAGCACAGCGAGACCCCATAAAGAACAGCTGCTGGCTCAGGCACTCAGGACGGGACGAGCACGCGGCGGCAGGGGCGTGTCACAGTGTGCACGGGAGTCCTGCGGGTAGGGGCGGAGCCCACGTTCTGCACGTCGGGTGTTCAGAAAAGCCTGGGGGAACTGTCCCCAAGAGGACGGTCACAGTGCGTGCTAAACAACTGGACAAATGCATGCCAGGCAGCGGGGCAGCCAGCGGGAGTCCTCGGAGCCTGAGCGGACAGCTGGTTTAGCGGGAGCCCCCGAGGGCAGGGCTACATCTGTGCGGGGCACTGCTGTACCTTCAGTTGTCCCACAAGCCTGGGACCCAGTGCTCCACAGGGAGGCTCACGCTAACCTCCCGGGTGGTTCTCCTGTCCCACTCACGCAGCCGCCCTCCCACTCCTGGTAGCGCCGGATGCGTGTCCTGAGAAACCTGGGCTCCGGGGAGCACCGTCGGAAAACCGCACGAGGACTCTGCAGGGGCTCTGGGTGTGTCCTGTGTGTATGCTGTAGAATTACACAGGTGTTCAGAAAGCAAGCAGGTTAAATCATTTGCTCAGGCACGGAGCCGTAACGGTGAAATGAGATACTCCCTGTAAAATCGCAGCACGGTGTCCGTGTAGGAACTGCGCCTTCACACCGGGTCAGCAGCTTAGCTAGACCAGTGGTCAGGAGACGGGTCCAAACCCACACCATCAGCTGCGAGGTGCCGTGTAGACGGGGACAGGGGCTTACTGTAGTGAGGGGCCGGTTTACAGAGGCGTGTGGGGTTATGTGGATTTTACTCGGTTTGAACTGGCTTCACACAGGGTGTGCTGGATCTCACTCACTCGGATGAGTTTAATAAGCAGTTCTGCGGTGTGTTCCGATTAGAGCACTGAAGTATCCCTGCCTGTGATCTTGTGTTCGCAGACCGCTTGGAGGGCGACCGATCGGAAGGCTCCGGCCAGGAGAATGAGAATGAGGATGAGGAATAAAGCAGTTCTTCTTGGCAAGCACTTAGATGTTCTGAGATTTGTATAAGACATTTATTATATTTTTTCTTTACAGAGCTTTAGTGCAATTTTAAGGTTATGGTTTTTGGAGTTTTGCCCTTTCTGGGATAACAGCATTGGTTTGGAATGACATGACTGTGTGCATGAATCTGGGCGCGTGTGTAAAATATTAGCAAAATGTTTCTAAAACCTTTTGCCTTGTATGAGGAGCGCTAGAAAATGCAAAGTGCAATATTTTCCCTAGCCTGACGGAGCTCGGATCAATGTTAAAGAGTAATTTTCATTACAGTGAAGCGTGGGTTCAAATAAATTTCTACACTTGCCATTTGCATGTTTGTTGCTTTCTAATTAAAGAAGTTTGTTTGTTTTAAGATAACCCTGAATTCGACTTTTATTTAATGCTCAGTCTTTTCTGTAATGGAAAAGGACTTTCTTAGGACCAGCAGATGGTGTAATGGTTATGTTGCTGGATTCCCACATGGTCGACCATGGTTCGAGTCCTGGATCCAGTGGCTTGAAACTCACAACGGGCACTTGTGCTTGTATGCCCAAAAATCTCAAGAGGAGAATGGAAGAGAAGGGACTGCAGCATGGGCATGCCCCATGGGGGTGGTTCCTCTGTCTCTGTCTCTCTACCTCTCCAGCAAGCACGCATGCCCTATAACAAAAACCTCAAAAAACAAAACAAAACACAAAAAACCTTTCTCTAGTCTTTCCTAGCTCAGTATCCTTTTGTTTAGACTTTTTTGTTTTAATTACATCTTCGGTTTTTCTTTTTTGACCAGAAAGGGACAGAGAGAGAGACAGAGACAGAGAGAAAGAGAGAGGGAAAGTGAGAAAGCAAGCCATCAGGTCTGGGACCCGAACCATGGTCAGCCACATGGGAGCCCGGCACCCTCAACATGCCGCCTGCCAGCCCTTGTCTGGAGTTCCGTGTGACGGAATGGCATGGAAAGCTCCTTCAACCCCTCTCCAGTCACCGTGTCCCATCACGCAGGTACGCAGGGTTAGGTGTTGCACGGACGTCCCAGGGCACCCTGGGGACTTGCCGCTTTAGGCCAGCTCTGCAGGTGGTCTCTGGGCGGCCTCTCAAGTTGCTGCCCGCCCAGGGCTCTGATTTTGCCCTTCCTCGCCCTTGTGCCCACGTCCACTCAGCCCACTCAGCCGTACTGCCAGGCCTTACGGTCTCGGGTTACGACCTGGGGCTGCTCCTCAGACCTGGCCCTGCAGGGATCCTCTCCCAGCTCGTATCTGTCCAGTCCAGCCTCAGAAAAAGAGAACCTTTCCTCAAGACCAAACTACCCTCTGTCCTGAAAGCGCGCTCGCCGCTCTGTCAGCCACGTGCACAGCTCTCTGGTTCTCTCTGCGACTCTTGATGGCCGAACCCTCCTGCAGAGCAGCCCCGCCCAGGGGAGAGCCCATCCGCTCGCTGCCTCATGGCACGTCAGGCCAAGAGCAGGCAGAAGGGCGCCCTAGTTCGGGGCTGAGAGAGGCGCCCCCCCCCCCCCCCCGCCACACGCGCACACGGCACTTTGTATCACGACTTTGGGAGGACGCAGTGAGGGTTACATACAGCGGACACGCTGCACCCCCAGCCCTTGAGTCTGTGGGGAGCAGCAGCCTACCCAGCACCTCCTCTGCCTGTGGTCCAGCCAGGGGCCCTCTCTCCCGGGCCTCCTTGCCAGCCAGCAGCTGGAGGCAAAGTTGGATTGCACGCCTGGCCTGATACTGACCATCTGGAGAGCCGCCTGGTGCTGCCGACGAGCAGAACGCTGGGTGCCGAGCTCAGGGTGGCGGATCCTCGTGGGGCCATCTCTACCAGCAGCATCAGCCTTGAGCTCTGGCTCGGGCCAGCTCTGAGAGGGCACCAGGCTGACGGGCAGCACGGCGGCGGGCACCAAGGGCCGTAGTCCAGCGCGGCAGGCACCGCGGGCCCGCGCCCTCCCCCAGAGCTGTTGGTGCTTTGCTCTCTCGTTGTTGTATTTGTCATTGAATTAGGTAGTTTGAACGTCCCTGTTACTTTCAGAACCTGAATATCCTGGAAAGGATGACATCAGATACCAGAGAGACAGGACCTCTCCCAGGTGCCACTGAGCAGAGCATGGCTGTCCCACATGGAGGGCGGGTCTCCTGCCCCCATGTTCTGGCCACAAGCCCAGGGACACCTACGTCTGAGAGAAAGCCTACCTGGACTTGAGCACCCAGCATCTGTGTATCCATGGTAGAGGTCGTGGTAAGTGCCCGAGGGCTGAAGGGGCCAGAGACTCGGCCAAACGGAATGGCCAAGGGATTGACCTTAGTGGTGTGCCCAGCTCAAGCCAACGGACTCCTCTGGGCCTGTTTCTCTCCCCCAGGGCTGCGGGGACCCCATACATCGTGAGGTTGAAGGGCTTCACACACAGTGACACCCTCTCCCCCACCGGATGGAACAGTCATGGGGGTGTGCTGTAGAGTGTGCTGGAAACCCACAGGACAGGTTACTAGAGACTCTGAGGTCAAGGAGTAGCTCTGGCAGGAAAAGCAATGGAAGAAGAGGGAAGTGGCACCTGTCTATCCGGCACAGGACAGGCTGTAGGAACCTTGTGCTTGATGCTTGGTTTTGCTGTGAACCTAAAAATGATCTAAGAAAATTAAGTACTTTTTTTCTCTTTTTTTTGAGAGGTTTTTGCTATAGGGCACGTGTGCTCACCAGACAGAGACAGAGAGACAGAAAGCAAGAAATCACCCCCCAGGGGGGATGGCCACACCGCAATCCCTTCTCCTCCATTCTCCTCTCGGGATCTTGGGCACGCACGCACACGTGCCCAGTGTGAGTTTAAGCCACCGGGTCCGGGACACGAACCACAGCCGACTACGTGGGAGTCCAGTGACATAGCCATTACGCTAAGTGCTGGTCCTGTGAAAATTAAGTACTTTTTAATCGAGGGCTTTGGGCCCCTTACCCACACTGATTCGGTGTTTTGGTGAAGTGTGTTTCTCAGGAGTGAGGCGAGCCAGAGCGGCATTGTGCAGCAGCAGTACCGCGTCCTGGGCACGTGGAGGACAGTGAGGTGGCCCACTCAGGACAAAGGGAGACGGCAAGTGAGGGGTCAGGTAAAGGTGCGGGTTTTGTCCCCAGAGATGGGGGGACTTTGATTCTGGATAGAGAACAAGTCCATATCTAGAAAGACAGATACACAAACTGATTTTTTCCCCAGATTTTTGTTACCGGATGCATGCGCTCACTAGAGAGACAGCAAACAAGAAGTCACCTCCCCGTCACCCCGGGGGGATGACTACACCCTTCTCCTCTCAGGATTTTGGGCATGCACATACCCATACCCAGTGTGAGTTACAAGCTACTGGGTCCAGGACTTGAACCGCAGTTCGTCGTGTGGGTGTCCAGCGACGTAACCGCTACGCCATCTGCTGGTCCCTGTACAGACTGATAGAAGACCAATGTTAAACCTGTAAGAGTTTCTTGAAAGGGCATGACGAGAAGTGGCCACTGGTTAAGGCAGCTGGATCCCACAAGGCCAGCCCCACAGTTCAAATCCCAGACTCAGCAGCTTGAAAAACACACCAGGCAGGTGGGCGCATGCACGTGGCCGAAACGACAGGAGGAAGAGGCGGGAGAGGAACTGTGACGCGCCTACGGCCGCTGAGGAGCGCTTCCTCCTCTCCCACCCTTCTGTCTCTGGCAAGCACACAGGCCCTTCTGACAAAATGTTTAAAAAGTAGTTCAGTTAACAATACTCCGTGAACTTAATGCACATGGATAGATTTCCCCAGGTGACTGTGGTGTGGGGACCCTCCTGTCCCCGCCCGATCCTGCAATAACCCACGCCCTCCTGCTTGGCGACCTCCCTGTTTTTAAGGTGGCTATAGGGTGTGTGCACTTGCCGAAGAGAAGGGGAGACAGGGAGGGAGATAAAGAGGGGAAACTAGAAATTACCCCCGGGGGGGGGTAGCCACCCCTCAACACTGTTTCCATGTTCCTCAGTGTTTCGGGCATGCACGCACCAGCCTGGCGTGTTTTCAAGCCACCAGGTCCAGGACTTGAACCATGCTGTTGGCCACATGGGATCCAGCCTTTTTCTAGCCCATGAGGAGGGAGGCTGGGGATGGGAATGAGGCTGCAAAAACTGGGGAAAGGGAAGACAGGCCCAGGCTGAACACGAGCACGCGTCCGAGGGCGGGCAACCACAGCCGGGCACCGGAACACTTCCCCGTGGTAAGACGCCTCACCGCAAAGTAGTCTAAATACACGTCCTTTTTCTAAATACGGATTTATAAAAGCCCTCAAATTTTTCTTTAAAAAGTGATCCCAAAACTCCACGTTATACATATTTCAAGATCAGCTGATTGTATTACTTTATTAATTTATCTTTGTTTTGTGTTCAAACGCTGGCTCACACACCTGCTCTGGGCGGCCAGGCCCTTCCGCACTGACCACAGCCTCGTCCCCCCAGGCCTGGGGTCCTGGCTGAGCCAGCCCGCCTGTCATTTGCGCTCTTGCAGAACCGTGTCAGGAAAAACAGAAGTGGCTTCTGGTTCCTGAGCTATTAATACTGCTTGGGAAAATGCCTTCCGGGAGAAACCAAGACTGCTTGTGCATTGTGTTCTAAAAATAGCCATGCCCACACCGTGCCCAAACCGTGCAGATTCCAGCTTGAGCCTTGGATGCTTCCCCAGCAATCCCGTCGCTGCCCTTGGCCCCCGGCCTCCTCGGGCTCAGACAGCCGATCCTTTCTCCCGACTCCCTGCTTGGCAGGACTCGCGCCCGGCCGACACCCACGGAGGGAGCTTAGAATGGCTGTACCCTTGGCACACCAGCGGAGCACGGAGGTCGGACGTTTTTAACAGAAAAACCCGCCCTGACGCTCGCGAGCCCGCGCCCCTCGCCGCTGCCTCCCTTCTGCCTCCGCCTCCCCCAGGTTCACTGGCTGGCAGCAGGAGCACGGTGCCATCCAGATGTCCTCTGGGGCACTCTGCTGGTGCCCGCGCTCGGTGAGCCCAACCCCAGGGCTGACCCTGAGAGCAGCACCAGCCCTCGGCCTGGGCGCCACTCCGCGGGGCCGGCCTCCGTCCTCAGTCCCGGGGGAGGTGGCCCCAGCCTTGTCTCACACAGCAACAGGCGCAGTTCCGAGGAGCTTGCCCGAGACAAGGCTACGAGGCGGCAGCCTGTGACCGCTCATGGCCGCCCACGCCAGGCCCGCACTGCCGGGAACCGAGAGCCCCGAGATGCCGGCCCGACTGCACATCTGACAGGCACATGGCGGGGCCGGGTACAGCGAGGCCCCAGCCCCGGGAGCACACCCTGAGCGCCCCCACAGGCATCGCCCTCCTGTTCTTGCAGACGGGAGACAGGGCTCATGGCTACACCCAGGGCCTCACTGGCTGTGGTCCAGGCAGGTGAATGCCCTGGCTGTCATCAGGATGGGCGTGCTCTCTTAGGTCCAGAGGGACAGACCTTTCCCTCGCCCTCCCTGCCCCGAATGGAGCCAGCAGCACCTGTCGCTCAGTTCTCTGCCTACCAGCAGCTCCTGGAGAGACTCAGAGGCGGTCAGAGTGACGGTCTGTCTTCCGCTCCCGCCTGGTCTGCTGGGAATGGCAGGTGCCGTGGGCGCATGCACGCAGGCTGGCCATCCGGGGGCTGCAGAGCCCGCTGCCCGAGACATCAGCACCCAGGGTTACCCTGAGTGGTCAGGGCCACACTGCTGCCCGTGCCCACTCCCTGTGCTCCAGCTTTGGTGGGTGCCAGGCCCGCTCCTGTGGGGACGCCCGGCTCCCACAGTACCAGGCTCAGCACGGGGACCCATCGGGTGAAAACCTCGGTGCAAGCAGTAGTGGGCGACAGCCCTAAAGCAGCCCTGCAGGACCAGGAGACGGGCTGAGGTGTTTGGATGCACGAGTGGCCCCAAGTCACTACCGCCACTGCCCAGGTGGCCCACCGTGGCCGTGCCCAGCCAAGGAGCCTGGCTGCAGTGGGGGCTGCCGTCTCACCCCAGGTGTGCAGGGGTGCTCTCAGCTGAATCAGGGTGAACTTGAATTCCTGAACGTGGAACAGACGCTCCTAGCAGGAATATGCTCCAGAACCTGGACTCACCCCTGGGCTACCCAGCCCTGACTCGGAAATCCTGCCCATCGGAGCCAGGCTCTGCCCCGGCGTTCAGCACCCCGTGTTTCCCTCTGATGTGGCACGATGACCCTGGGGTGCTGCAGCCAGCGACCAGCACACACCCAGCAGCCAGGCAGGAAAGGAAACCTGTGGGTTAGGTCCAGCCCCGTCACATCCCAGCTGACCCAGGGGCCCAGCTAGCCAGGCCAGGAGCCAGCCCCAGCCCTCGCGCACTGAGCCAACCTGCAAGCCAAACACCTGGGCACGATTGGCCCAGGTAAGGGTCTCCACCCCGTGCTGGCCTGTGCCTACCAGGTGACCAGAGTGCTCCCCTCAGGCTACACGGCCTAGACAGGGACATATAGACCGTCTATGGGATGCACACACGTGTTCAGACTTGCTCGGCACCAGCGTGGGCGTAGGATCTTCTGCACGGCCCTGCGGAGCCCGGGGAGCACCTGGCCTTGGCCTGGACAGCTGCTGTGTCACCTCCCAGCTATGGCTGGTGCCTGCCGCCTGGCACAGCTGACGAGTTCTGTAGCACCAGTGCCCAGGGCTACCCTGAGTGGTCACAGCCAGGTTGCACCCGTGCCCACCCCCTGCGCTGGACATGACTTGTAGCTTGTAGAAAGGGGCCAGCCCAGCGCAGGAAATGGCTGGAAGACTGCAGACGGGGGCCAGCCAACCACGACTTCTGCAAGGACGCAGCCCCACCGGGAGCTGGCCAGATGCCAAGGAACACGCTACAGGAACCAGCAGTTGGCGTAATGGCTATGTCGCTGGACTCCCACGTAGTCGACCGCGGTTCTCGTCCTGGACCCGGTGGCTTAAAACTCACGCCGGGCGCGTGTACGTGCGTGCCCAGGATCCCGAGAGGAGAATGGAGGAGAAGGGATTGCGGCGTGGCCATCCCCCCTGGGGGGTGATTTCTCGTTTTCTGTCTCTGTCTCTCTCTGTCTGGTGAGCGCACGCGCCCTATAGCGAAAAATCCTCTCAAAAAAAAAAAAAAATTAAAACTAAAAAAAAAAGAGCACACTACGAAGCTGGTGAGGCAGCAGTGAGCTCTCTGGGTTCCGCCCTCTGTGGACCAGGGCAGGGGCTGCATGGACCTCGTCACCCCGGCCGCGGGCAGACGGGGACTCGTTGCCTCTCAGGTGCCCACAGCAGCTGTCGCAGCCGGTGGGGAGAGGGCGTCCCCCGCAAGGCGGCTAGCCTCTGCCTGCAGGACCGCCCTGGACAGGTAGCCGGGCGAAGCCCCTGTGCCATCAGGAACAAGGACGTCACAAGTGCTGGTCCATGCGCCTTTTTAATCCCCGTCTCTAATTTACAAACTCGGGTACCGCCGAAGATCGCGCCTGGAAGTGCTTTCGGAGAGCACCCAGTCCAGTCCCGTTTCCCATCCTAGAGGCCTGAGAGGCAGCAGGATGTCCCGAGGACAGGACTCCAGCCTGCGGGCTAAGGCCCAGCGTTCTCCCTCCCTGCCCTGCCCAGGCGACGGGGGTGGCTGTCGCCCTGGAGCTGCCCCTCAGAGCGGAGGCCAGTTGCGCCCACTGGGCACTGCCGTCAAAGGCTCTCCTCCGTGGGAGGGCCCAGGGGTATCCGGGTCTGTTTCCCAGCCGCGCTCGGCACCCAGCCCCATCCGGGCTCACCGGACTGCGATGTGCCCCCCCATGCACCCCCCGATGCTTGGCAATGCCGTTACTATGGAAACAGCCCGCTGGCCCCAGCCCCTCCCGTATTTTATAGTGGTTTCTCCCTTCTCTTGAATTACCAGAGAACGTGTCCAGGGTGGGGAGGGGGCACAGCACCAGGGCAGGAAGGGCAGGGGCCACCTGGGGCGCACCCTCTGCAGACAGTGGGTGACGGACCCAAGGCCCCACGCTGCGGGATCCCCACACAGGGCCCCGGGTGGTCCTGGGTTGTCAGAGAGAACTGCCGAGCTGTCCATGGTGCTCCTGAGGCCTCGGGCCAGCTGGACCCCCAGGAGGCAGGTGGGGAGAAGAGCACCCCCCATGGCCTCCAGCTTGTCTATACCATACCCCGGAACCAGGCCACTTCCAGCGGCTCTGCACCTCAGCTGCTTCAGGTTCCATCCCTGGGACCTTGAAGTAGACGCGTTTCAGGATGTCCAGTCCTGGCGGCCCCCCAGATGCCCCTCCCTACTGCCCCCCGAGCACAGGGATGAGCCTCGGCACAGGAGCGGCTCCGGCCACGCAGCCCAGGGCTCATCTGGGCTCCATGGCTGCCACGTCCGCCTCCTCAATGCTCTGCAGCGGCAGCGCCTGCCTAGCCGGTGTCCCTCTGCATCCGGGGCCCTCCTGCTGCCACGGCGGCCCCCAGGCCCAGCCCCAGCCCCCAGGATGGCGCGCGTGGCCCCCAAGACCCCCGGCAAGGCCTCCTCTCCAAATAAGTTGATCTTCGCTTCGGCCTCGATGGCCTTGGCCAGGCTGGCTGCATAGCTGTCCAGGGACTTGTGGACTTCGGCCTTCACGTGGAGGAGAGAGGTCCTGGCAGCCTCTGGGGGAGAAGTGGGAAATGTCAGCAAGCAGGACCCTACCGCCAGCCCCCCGCTGCCGCCTGCTGGTCCCGGGGAGCCCTGAGTTCCTCAACCTCCCTGCAGTTCCCTCGTCCACAGGAGATACCCAGGACCCCGGGGGCACCGTGAGGACTGCCAGGAGGAAGCTTCCAGATGCTCGGCCTTGCCTGCCCACAGAGAAGCCTGCCCGGGGCCACCTCCTGCCATGGCCCAGCGGGCCTCCCACAGCCCTGGAAGAGCTCACGGACACAGGCCAGGCCGGGGCCGCAAACACCGCCACGGGGCAAGGAGGGCAGCAGGGCAGGCAGCGACGCTGGGTCCAGGTGACTGCAGGGGTGGGCTTCGGCTCCACACTCGGCACCCCATTACGCCCCTCCCCAGCCATTTTCCCTGGACACTGCGGGAACAGTCCCCTCCTCGCACCCTCGGCTGCCCTTCACTGTCCACCCACAGGGAGCTGAGCGGTGTCCTCTGCCGTCTGCTTCAGTTGGCAGTGCCCTGCGGGCCATGTGTATGCAGTGTGTGTGCTTGCATGTACACGTGCATGCCACTCGTGTGGCATGTATATGTGTCCTTGTGTGCATGTGTTTGAGTGTTTGTGATGTATATACGTACGCTACATGTCTGTGTTGTGTGTTCACACATGTACGTAAATGTGTCACATATACTTATAAACTTGTACGTGTGCTTATGTGTGTGCATGTTTGTGTGAACTTGTTTCTATGCTGTGTGCTTGCAAATACGAGTGGGCACATGCATGTGTTGTGCATGTATGTGCACACATATGTGTGTCACGTGTGCTTGTGTGTGCACACCTCCGCAGTGTGCACGCCTGTGTGTGCACATGTGTACTGGGCTGGGCCGTGGTCCGCGGGCTTCTAGCACCGCCTGCTCCGAGGCTGAGCGCTGCAGGAGTGGACCAGCGGGGTGGGCGCGTGGACAGGCCGGCTGCCGGCGTGGGTGTGGGGCGGAGCTGAGACACTCCCAGGACCTCGCTGTGGAAAGGACCTTTGCTCTGCTCCACTTCGTCCTCGAATGTCACGGAGCTCCTCCTCCTGGGCGGGCACGTGCAGTGGGAGGGGGCGCTGTCCTCCGTGTGGTCCTCCAGCAGCACCACGTCGGTCCCTAAGGGGCAGGCGGAGCACTGTGACTGGGCCCCACCCAGCGGGTGACCAGAGCGGGGTCCTGCCCCTGGGAGTCTGCAGGTGGAAGGAGGCACCCCAGCCTGCTGGGGGGACGCCCCGAGGCACCAGCCCCGCCAGGGCCTGCGTGAGGAGCCTGCTTTCAAGAAGGAACTTCCTGTTCAGAGCAATCCCTACCATCAGAACCCCCATCAGTCAAGGCAAGTGGTGGCGAATAAGCACTCAGGGCCGGCAGGGGCGTGGCGGTTAAGGCCCTGGATTCCCACATGGCCTACTGTGGTTCGCGTCCCAGGCAGGACTGTGGCATGGCCATCCCCCAGGGAGGGACTTCTCATTCTCCCTGTCTCTCCAGCCAGCGCACATACCCTATGGCAAAAATCTAATTAAGAAAAAACGAAAATAAAAACACTTGAAAATAGGCAGCTCTTTGGCAATCAAAAAAGACTGAAAAATATACCTACGTAAAAGTAGGGAGATAAGGGCTCTGAGGGGGTTCAGCTGGTGGTGTGGTGGGTAAGGCGGCTGGATCCCACATGGCCAATGAAGTGGTTTGAATCCTGGACCCAGCAGCTGAGCATGTGCCTGAGCCCCCCAAATCCTGAGAGAATGACCATTTCTCCTGGGGGTCTCCCCTATGAATGCACCCACCTGTTGTAAAACTGAAAACAAAACGAAAACAGGGGCTTCAAATCACACGACGGACTCAGGCCTGGAGGGACGGGGTTGCCAAGGGAGCGAGGGTTCTGGGAGGATGTGCCGTTCCAGGGAGAAGTCTCCCACGGCCTGCCCTGGAGTTCTAGCACGCGGCAACCCGGGGCAGAAAACACAGGCCCAGGCAGAGGGAACTCCCGGTCCCCAGGAGTGGAGGGAGGAGGTGCTGGGAGCCACCCCACCAGGAGCTTGTCCCTCCCACACCCGAGAGTGCGCGGGGGCCCAGCTGGCCTGCAGCCCTTGCAGCTGTGATCACGGGGTCCCGCCTCCTGGCCGCCCTCCCCTAAGGTGTGGGGAGCACGGCCGTGTTCTGGAACAGGCTGGGCTGCGGTGGAGGAGGGCAGGGCTAGAGACCAGCTGGGGAGGCCGTGGAGACGCGGCCTCCAAGCTCTGAAAGGGCACTGGGGAGCGTCAGACAGCCGCTGTGAGGCCAAGGCCGGGACACCCTCGTTCCTTACCAGGGCCCCATCGGGGGGCGTGCCCATGTACCACCACGGGGGCCCAGGTTAGGGGACTGCCTGAGACAGGCTCCCAGGCCGCGGAGACCCCGCCAGGCCGACGCCAGGGCGGTCAAGGGCGTCAGGTTGGCGCGACACGGCGGCCGGCAGCACCTGGCTCCTCGGGCTCTGCACGCTTCACCTCGCTGCCTCAGCGTGTGCCCGAGAGCTAGGCCGCTCCCCGGGGGAAACCGAGGCTCAGGGAGAGCTCAAAAGCGGAGTCGGGACTAGAACCTGGAGTGGATTCCGGCGCAGCCCTCCCCGCCCGCTGACAGGAGGGTCCAGGGCAAGGCCCGGACAGACCTTACCTGAGTCCTGGGAGCAGCTGAAGCCTGTGTCCCCGGTGCTGCTGCTGTGGCCCAGCGGCTGGCCCCCAGCCATGAGCGCCGTGAGGTGCGGGGACAGGCCCAGGTCTGAAAGGCAAAGTCGGCGTTGGCACAGGCGGCAGGTAGGCACACCCCGCGGGGGGCGTCCTGGCCTGTCCCGTCCTGTCCTCTGTGCCCTGTGCCCATGCACCGACAGGCCTTTGCCACACTCTCCCACTTGGCCCTCGCTCCTCCCACAGGGTCGGGCTCTTGAGGACCCAAAGGGGAGCTCCTGACCATGTCCACCTCCCACAGGGCAGGAGGTAGGGAGCCCAAAGGGGAATGCTTTTCGGAACCCGGAAAGCTGAGGGGTGAACGAGATGACACTGAGCCCCGAAAGAACGAAGGTTGGCAGTGGGGGAGATCTGCGGGGCCGGGGGCTCTCCCTAGAGCCCCGAAGCTCAGGACTCGGGGCCAGGGGCTGGCAGGCCCAGGGGGCCGGCGGGAGGGCGGCGAAAAAGCTCAGGACTCGGGGCCAGGGGCTGGCAGGCCCAGGGGGCTGGCTGGAGGTCTGCCCCTAATGCGGCCGGCCTGCCACTACTCCTGCCCTGCCTGGGCTCTAGGCCAGCTCCGTGTCAGAGGACAGAGAGGGGGTCGGAGCTCTGACGGGGACACCAGGCACGGCTGGGGCAGGGCCCCGGTGCAAACCCAGAAGGGCAAGTCAGCTCAGGAGTGCACCTGGAGGGCCCGACCCTGGAAACTGGCCAGTGGGGAGGCACTGCAGCCACAGACGGCTGGCGCCAGGGGACGGCCCGGCCAGGCCCCGTGACCTCCCACTGCCCGGGTCCTTGTCATTAAAGGCAATGGTGGCCCAGGCTCACTAGACTTCAAGGCACGGCACCAGCATGGCAAAGGGGTGGGAGCCAGAGCAGGAGGTGGAGCTGAGGAAGCGGGGTCTGTAAAGAGAGCTGGAGGCCACCGGGTAGTGTAGTGGCTAAGGTGCTGGGCTCCTAGATGGCCAACCATGGTTTGAGTCCTGGACCCGGCAGCTTGAAACTCATGCCGGGTGCGTGTGCGTGTGTGCCCAAACTCCCAGAAGGGATCGTGGCATGCTATCCCCTGTGGGGGGTGCCTTCTCACTGTCTCTGTCTCTCCAGTGAGTGCAAGCTCCCATAGCAAAACTGTCTCAAAAGCAGGAGAGCTGGAGGCTACGACAGGAAGGGTAAAGCCCTGGAAATGAAGCGACCGTCAAACGTCAGGGCCCGGGTCTCACGGTAGACGGGACACCCAAGCATAAAGGACGCCTGTGTCGGCCCACGGTGGCAAGGACGGGAGAGCCCCGTCCCTCCTCCATCCAGTCCCTCAGAGCTCGGGACGGGGCCTTGCTGCCCTGCAGCCGGGGGCAGCGGCGGGGGGGGGGCCCGAGCCGCCCCC